CTTGCGTGAGAAAGCAGGCGTAGTTCTCGCCCAGAGTGTAGAGCTGGATGCCGAGGGCGTGGGCGTACGCCAGCACCTCCGTGGGCGCGGGCGGACCGGCATAGGCACAGCAGGCGAGGGCGTCGGGGAGGAGAGCGAGGCGCTCATATCTGCTGGCGACGGAGTAGAGGAGGGCGCCGAACTGCGGGTCCAGAGTGTAGTACAGCATGGCTGCCACTCCGCCCCGGCTCCTGCCGCCCTCCCTCCCGCCCCCTGCTGACGCCCCACCTCCTCCTCCGGTTCCTGTTCCTACTCCTGCTACTGCTGCTGCCGCTGCTGCCCTTCCTGCAGCCGCAGCCGCCGCAGCCGCCGCTGCTTTGGCGGGAGTCGGGAGGCTCGCTGCGTCACGCGCGCCCTGCCAGCGGACGCCCACGCTCACGCTCCACATAGAGAGGCACAGCGGGCATGGGCGGCACTGCTACCCCGCCTCCGTCGCGGCCGCTCGGCGCCGCTACAAGCGCGGCACGACACGGCTCGTGTGGGCGCAGCAGTGCAGGGGCGTCGCGTTCGGGAAGCGAGGCGGTCTTCCACTCCGCTTCAGGAGACGAATGACGGCGCACGACTTGGCACTAAAGGCGGGGCACGCGACGCCTGGGCACGGGACAGTCCTGGCCACGCGACCCTTCCCCGATCTTTCATGAACACCTTCGCGTCAGAGCCTCTCTGCGCGCCCCTCGGCCCGCACTCCTCTCCGCCTTCTGCAAGTCTCCGAAGCTGCAGCGCCAGACCGCCTGTGCGCCCCGCGAGCGGCCGGGCGTGGCACTCAGTCTCGCCGGCCGAGTGCCAGCAATCTAAATCCGCGACCGGGAAGGCGTGGGAGGGACGCCAGCTGCGGTCAACAGGCACCTGATCCTCGCGCGCGGCAGTGCCGCACGCGGCCTATGCGTCACGCTCTGGCGCTCTTTCGTCTCGACGCGCGGGTTCGCTACTCCTTTCTCTCGCGACTTCGGCAGCGCCTACGTCGGCGCCGTCGCCTTCGTGGTCGTCGTGGCACACTCGAGGTCGTGCCGGCAGAGGGCACTAGCAGCGGGGGCTCGGCGACGAAGAGGTGAGAGCGACGAGCGGGGTCAGGTACTGGCACCAGTCACTGCGAGGGTCGGCGGGGGGCACCATTATGGCACAGGGGAATGGGACGTGGTCAGCATCCTGTTGTTGCGCGCGGGAGCGAGGTCAAGGCAGGTCGCACAGCCTCAACGAAACCTTCCTGGGAGGCGGGGAGATAAGGGAGCATTGTTAGGGGTAAAAGGGAAAGTGAGTGGAGCTGCGTGAGTAAAAGGAAAGGGCTGACCTGGACTCGTGACTCACGACGGAGCAGGGAGGGAGAGCAAGGAAGAAAGGAAAGCAGGCAAGGAGCAAGCGAGGGAGCATTAGGGAAAACCAAAAGACTATCGTCGAAGACCTAAAACCAAGCGCACCTTCCTATCTACAACTTCCCGACCAATCATTTCTCCGCATTTATGGCCTCGGTTCCGTCGGCGCCGCGGAAGAAAGTCTCACCCGCCCGGGATCGCGGGGGAGGCGTTTCTTTGTAAGTCATTAAGGTTACAGTTTGGGTCCACTGTTTGTTCTCCAAAGTCCAAGGAACCGAGAGTTTTTGTTCACAAAAGTCAAACACACGAAACTTCTGACACAGAATAACAGTATCAGTATTCGAACAAAAGTTAAATCGCTTACTACAGTAAAACGAATCGGGTCATCTTTGTTTACACATTCCAGCTTGAAACTGACACAAAAAATATTGATTTGCCATCCTATAGCAACTAATCTTGAATTGTACAAACAATATAAAGACATACATAAACAAAATTTCTCAGGAACACATTCGAGTAGCCATAGCCCATCCACAGCCTTACGTAAACACACACACACACACACACACACACACACACACACACACACACACACACACACACACACACACATACATATATATATACATAAACATATAGATACACAAACACATATCTAAGCATAAAATAGCAAGGTTTTAAGTCACATGCAAGATGTACATGAATACACAAAACGTGAAAACAAACGCAAAACCTTAATCAAATAAAAATACATTGGGCTAAAAAGTGAACTTACATGAAGTGTGGCTAAGAAACACTATGCTTCAAAACAAAAGGTAATCAAAGTGTAATCAAGCAAATCAATCATGCAAAGAAGCCCAAGATGTAAACAAACCAAGATGAAACTTAAAATACATACAGACAAAAACAAAAAACAAAAAAAAGCAAAAAAAAAAAAAGTGTAAGTAAATACACACTATGAACAGTAATGTGTAATTCACTATAAAGTTTATCATAGAGAAGAGATGTAAGCATATACAGACGATAAAGATTAAGAGTAAATATACGTAAAATATAATTTAACAAGACAAGGAAAAAATGTAACCAAACAACAAAAATAGAACAACAAAACAGGCAAACATAGACCGGAAAGTATCAAAATGATGAAGATAAACAAATTATGAACAAAAAAAATAAAACAATGAAACAAACAAAAAACAATGAGAAGACCAGGTACCAAATACAAGCAAAACGTAACGTAACATATAACTCAAACAGAGCGAAGACAAACACAAAACCCACACAAGGAAGATTAAAGACAAACACGGAATCTAAGACTCATAATAAACATGGAAAGTAAACAAACACCAACTATACACAGAACCAAACCGAAAAAAAAACAATCGTCAACAAAGACAAAACGTCAACAAAGACGAAAAGTAAACAAACACAACATGGGGAAAAGCAGACAAGAACAAGAGGCAAACAAGCACGCAACGCAATTGAACAGCACGCAAGCCAACGCAGCGCCAAGACGATCCTGCGCGGGAACACAGACCTCAGCGAAAAGCATGACTCCAGATGAGAGGCAGGGATTGAGATCAGCGCACTCCTCCCCTTCCCTCCCACCCTCTGTCCTCCACTCCCATCGCCTCCCCTCCCCTCCCCTCCCCTTCCTTTGCTTTGCTTTGCTTAGTTTTCCTTTCGTTGCCCTGTTTTGCCTTTCCTTTCTTTTTTATTGCCTCCCTTTCCTTGCCCTGCCTTGCATTTCCTTTCCTTCTCCCATTTCCACTTTCTTTTTTATCACTTTCTCTTCAGCTCTCTCCCCACCGCCTTCCGTCCCTCCTCCCTTCCCCTTCCCTCTTGCTTCTTACGCATTCCCCACGCTTTTCCTCTTCCCTTGTTTCCCTCTCTCCTTCCCTTCCCTTTTCCCTATTCCCATTCCCTCCCATCAATCCTTATGCCTCTATTGTCCATTTCCCATCCTCCTCTTCTTTCCCCTTTTCCTTTCTTCCTTTTCCCCGTTGCCCAATCCCTCTCCTTCCCCCCTTCCCCAATTTCCCTGCTCCTCTCACTCCCAATCTTCTTTTTCTCTTTCGTTTATCCCTAATTATCCTTTTCCCGTGTCCGTTCCCCCTTCCCAATTTCCGTCTTCCCAACCCCCTTCCTTTCTTTCTCTTTCCCTTCCCATTTCTCTTACTTTTCCCTTACCTTATCCCTTTTTCCCTTCACCTTTCCCTTTTCCCCTTACCTTGCCCTTACCACCTCTACTTCCCTTTCCCTTCCTCTTCCCCATTACCTCCTCCTATACACTGCTTAATTAGCTTCCATGAGTCACACCCACGTGGCCCGAGAGCTTTGTCCTGGCCGCGTGTGGGGGAAGGGAGGGGGAGGGGGATGGGGGGAGGGAAGGAATGGGATGGATGGATGGGAGGGAGGGGGAGGGGGGAGGGGGGAGGGAGGGAGGAAAGGAGGTGTCACTGCACCGGCCGCGGGAGAGCACGTCGGTGTGTTATTATGGTGACTGGCTGTGGGGGAGGAGGGGCGGGGAGTTTGCGGAGGGGGTGGGAAGCTTACGGCTATACAAATGGTTGGAACTTGTTCGTCCTATTTCTGTCACGTAAGGGGAGGAACGCATATTAATTGCCCCGTTTATACAGATAAATATGGTGTCACACACACACACACACACACACACACACACACACACACACACACACACACACACACACACACACACACACACACACATACACACATACACACATACACACATACACACACACACACACACACACACACACACACACACACACACACACACACATACACACACGTACACGCGCGCACACACACACACACACACACACACAGTCAGTTCCAGTATGACTAACGCGGGTTAACCATATCCAATTCAATTCATACAATCCATCGCGACTCAAAGGCCGATTGCTTGTGTCCTTTAAGTTCTTCCTCACGACATGGTAGCTTGTTTACTATATTGGCCTCATTCACTGTAATGGTCTCACTCACTATACTGGCCTTGTTCAGTCACTACCCATTTTTCGCTGTGGTGACTATATTCGCTCACTATACTGGCCCTACTTCATCACAATGCCATTGTTCATTCAACTGGCCTTACTCACTACGGCGTTCTTAAAAAGTGACACTGCTTCACATGGCTACCGAGCTGCCCTTGTCTCGGGCTGAGGTTTGCAGAGTTGCCGTCGGTTGTTGACGACTCACTCTCACGTGACACTTGCATTTTGACCTCTCACACAACCTCGCTGACCTCCTTTCGGGATTCAGCCTCTGACTATGCGGCTTCGCAAACCCTGGACTTGCCCTCGCACACGGGTCAGCCACGCTGGCTTCACATCATACACTCTGTCCTTCGTGAACCCTTACACGGCGGCCGCCTGCATGACGACCTTGGCCGACAGGTCGGCCTCACACTCCTCCCGGCTCATTCACTGCTCGAAGCTTTGCGAGACATGACACACGAGGCAAATCACCGCAGATCCTTACGTTTCCGTCTTCGGCGTATCCAGCGGGCCTACAGGGACTCCTAAACGACGCAGAAGTTTCGTTACATATCCTCAGTCGAGGGGGGTGTGGGCAGGGGGCGGCGCCCGCTTTCGAAACACACACACGAACGCACACGTAACACAA